TTGTTGTTGTTGTTGTTGTTGTTGTTGTTGTTGCTGTTGTTGTTGTTGTTGTTGTTGTTGTTGTTGTTGTTGTTGTTGTTGTTGTTGTTGTTGTTGTTATTGTTGTTGTTGTTGTTGTTGTTGTTGTTGTTGTTGTTGTTGTTGTTGTTGTTGTTGTTGTTGTTGTTGTTGTTGTTGTTGTTGTTGTTGTTGTTGTTGTTGTTGTTGTTGTTGTTGTTGTTGTTGTTGTTGTTGTTGTTGTTGTTGTTGTTGTTGTTGTTGTTGTTGTTGTTGTTGTTGTTGTTGTTGTTGTTGTTGTTGTTGTTGTTGTTGTTGGAATATGGCGTATAATGTTTTTGTTGCTAAGTTTGATTACTCTAATTTTGCTTTTTTTCTAAGGGATGAACATAATTCTCCGTAGTTTTTATACTTACTTTGCAAGCAAGAATTTTTTTAAAATTAAAACTGGCGCTAGAAGATCAAAGAGTAGTGCAAAATTACCGGTATACGATGCATGTCTAGATGCCTAAGATCGGAACACGACGTACGCCATTGTAAAATTGGTCAGAAAACGGTGAATAAAAAAGTCGTACTCGGTCAAAATGTAAGATTGTGTTGAAGAAATTGAGCTGCGTATGAAAGTCGAAAGATAGCAATGTATTGTACAATTGAACTGCAATTTCTTTGGTTAAAGATATACAAAACGTTTTTGTACTTTTTTTTCAACAAATTGCTTGCCGCAAATTTGATCTAATTGGGCATTTAAGGTTTCAGGAGAGCTCAAAAAAATCAGTTTGTTTGGCCTGAAAAAGGACAACAAACAACGCAGCCTATAAGGAAGCTAGCTGCAGAAAATACAATTGATCTTTCAAAACGACTTATTTGCGTTCGAGGTGAGCTTAGTACTCTTTGAGCAAAACTTATCATCATCCCTCTGTAGACTTCGTATAAACCGCCTTATGACAAAAACTAGGCAAAAAACTGCCTTTTAAACATCTTGTTTAGAAAGTGCCATTTTTCTTCAATTGCTTTTGCGCAGAATCGGAATCAAAATTAATTAAATCGAGACCCACGTCAAGCATCAATCCTGAAAAAAACTTTAATTTATCTTCAATTTATACTCGGGCAGAGAAACTCGTAGATGTTAGAATCTCAGCTAATTTTTTTCAGAAAGATTAGATAATGAAAACAAGGAGATATCGAAAAACATGAGATATTGAACGATAGAGATGAAATAATGAGTGTTCGAATCTAACCTTTTTCTAATAAAACTTTTTTTTTGCTAGCGGTATCATTAGAGTTAGTTGAAATTATGTTAATCAATTGCCCGTTGATTTTTTCGGTCAACACCAGGCATTTAAACATGGAGTTTTGACAGCACGGTCAATATGGAAAGTGTAATTGCCAAGAAAACGTTCCATTTGGAGGTCGTCCGTACCGGAATATGATGCACGGCCAAGACCAAACAGGCTAGTAAAACGTAAACGAGATCGCCGAACTAACTGTTCTGACTTTGACTATAAGATGGTGCGATGGTAAGAATCCATGCAAAAAAAACCGTCGAAAACTGTTAAATCTATATTCAAATAATGTCTGAAGGAGTTTATTGTTGCTGTTTTAATTGTTTTGAGTTCTTTTCAAAAGCTGGAAGAGGAAAATCATTATCAATTAAATTGATGTTTTTTTTTCTTATATTGGCTTACAATCTCGATAAGAGATGCTACTGTTCTAGTGCTTTTTGAATCGAAAACTATTAACGGATTTACTAGTAACTAGTAACGGATCATTGAGACATTTTACAAACCCAATATAATTGCAACTACGCAGTAACAAAACGAACTCTAGGCCAAACTAAAAAAATGAACACATCTATCAGACTCAACAAAATTGATTGTTTTTCGCAGCTTGGTTTTCTTGACAGACTATAAAATTATTTTACTATATAAAACAACAAGAAGCGAATTCAGGCTTCAAACAAAACACATATTATCATTTTTGTTACCTTTGTGCGAAAAACTGTACCTGGAGTACGTTATTGACAAATGTCCATTTTTGCATGAAATAAAAGCCTTTGTTTTTTTATCAATTTTTTTTGTTCGCTTGTGCCTTGAACCTTTTTGCGACTAGAACAGAACTATTTTTTTTCTAAATTCATTTTGTCTCCAAAATCAATTTTAAAACGCGGCGGTGAAATCAATTTTGAAGGAGAGCGGTGGTGAAGTGGTTACGTCCCCACCTCTCAATCGAAAAGTCGGATTTTCGAGGCCCACCATGATCCGTGCTCGGGGGTGAAGCAACATTACCCAGCCCAGAAAAATAACCAAATTAATTTGCATGTAGTTCTTAAACAGGGGCACAGAAGCGGTTCGGTGTGATGAGCTGTACAGCTCTTGTGTTGGTCCTTTCACCCGTGGATAAATGATCTTAATCTAATACGATTACACTTAGATTATTAAATTTGAACAACCTCAGTTTTAATTTATAAGTTTTCTGTTGATGTAGAAGAACACGCTAATTTTGAAAAAAAAATTACACAGAAATGAAATTGTATGACTAGCATTTCTTTGTATGAGGGTCAACCCGGGATTGCAAAATAAGAATCGCGGTCCTACGCAAAAGGTAAAATAGAAGGCTGGTAAATAAAATTTGATATTGGAATTTTTCCGAGGACATAAATTCTTTAACCAAAATTGAGGAGTCGCCTCTTCAATAAGAAAATTTCCTGCAACCAGTTTTTAATTGTAAAATTGATCTCAGATTTAATAGGGTAGTTATTTAATCATTCAAAAAAACTGTCAATTTTTCAAAAATTTGATCTTCAGAAAACCAAAACATTTTTTTTTGCAAAAAAAGATTGTGGCCGCTCAAGTAGAGAAAAAAACCGAAACCGGATTTCTCGATTGAACACGTGGCCTGGTTATTGGCAGAGTAATTTTCGAGTAAATTCAAAAAATTTTCAAAAAAGACGGTGAAAGTTTCAAAAGTTTGACTTTTTGGAGGGCCAAAACTTTTTGCGTAAATACATTTCGCGAAATCGGGTATGCTAAGGAGCTTTTTACATTACATTTTTTCGACTATTACTAAAATCGGAGATATGGGAGGGTAATTTTTGAGAAAAATCAAAGTTTCTTTAAAAAATGGTCAAATATTTGATTTTTTGAGGGCGATAAGCTTTGCGTAAAAAATTGTGCCGCCAGAAAAATACAGGGGAATTTCCTACTTCGCGTTATCTCGATTGAATTAATAATTTCAGATTCGGGAGTTCAGTTTCAAAGAATAGACAAAAACGTTCAAAAACGGTTTAAAAAAAATTGACTATTCTGAGGACAATAACGTTACGTGTAAAAAAATATAGGCGTGGACGATTATGTAGAGGAGCTTTTGAGTCTTTGAGGAAACAAAAATAGCAAAAATAAGAATCGAATACTCTCTTAACAGACTTTTTGAAGACGTTAGACAGAGTGGTAAAGTAAAAGAGCCCAGGAGAGTTTGGAAACACACAGGGAAATACACTTTGAAATTTTTTTTACTTCTTGCAAGAACCCTATTTTTTCTCAAAAACTGTTCTTATGATTTTCAAAAAAATATCAATGGAAATACAAATGGAAGAGGACATAGAATTTTGCAAAAAATGAAAAAAACTTATTGCAAAAAATGAAAAAATCTCAAAAAATAATGAACCCCATCTCATTCATTCAAATAGGAATTCATTTTAAACTCGCCACCCATGATAATTGAGCTTTGAATTAGCGACGGAACAAAGTTTATGATGCGGGAACAAAACCAACTATCTTTGAACTGAAAAACAAAATTACCCCTTAACTAAAACGAACATGATACCATGATACTTGTTTATGGCTTAAAAAAATCTGTGATTTGACAGCTGACCGACAAAACTTGAGCAGATAAGCAAAAGTAGAATAAGTAATTTTTTACCAAGAGAATTTTCGAACCCCTGACTCGAAGCCAGGATTCAAACCCCTGAATTGGATGCAAAGGCGACGGCGTTGCCTCTAGGCCAAGTGTGAAGGAACCTGGAAGTTGATAAGATTCAATAAAAAAGCAAGTTGGAAAATTATAACAAAAAGTTGTTTACGGGAAAAAGGTCTAAATCCTATTTACAAAACACTTGCTTTCGCAAGTGTAATCAAAATTGGTAGGGCCAATAATTCTTTTGTGTTGTTTTTATAATTCAACTACAATTGAAATTGCACAAAAACAAAACAACCTCTAGGCCAAACTAAAGAAAGATACCCCAACCCCCTTCGACCTGTTGCATGTTAAAAAAAAACTCGCTCAACTGTTGATTTAGTCCGCTATAGGCGCGGAAATTTTTAACAAGATACATAAGAGGTGGGATAGTTAACAAGATCCTTTGAATAAACAGCACTTTTAAAAAAAAAAAATAACTGGGTTATAAGTTTTAGCCCATTTTCCTTAAATTGAGCTAATCTCTGCATAAACCAATTTATAGAGGAGATTGCTCAATTGGTTGGATGCAACCTTTTTCAGCCAATCAGAGCTCAACGCTCTGAATAACTTCTTTTTGCTTCCATTTGCCGTTTAGATTCAAGCCATCATTCACTTGATCAGTTCTGGGGATTGCTCCTTTGTCTACATAAGACAAAAAAAATCTAGGATAAAAACTGCATAACAAACATTGGATGTCCACGTTCAGGAGCTGAATCCTTGAAAAAGGAAAAAGGGGCGCCCATTTCCCCCTTAATCCACCACAACAATTACTGTAATTAGTAATTAGTGTAATTATTGGGGGGATTAGTGAATAGATTCCAGGTTTTGCTCATTGTACTATAATTTAAATCTGCTAGAACCGAAAACCTCTCAATGAATCAAATTCAGATAGTTATTTTTTCTAAAAAAAAGTCGGTGAAAAGAAAACGAAAAAATGGTTTATGAGTCTGAAACACATTTTGTCTACAAAATTGAACTGACGTAACTTTTATGCAGCATTAATTCAAATGGTACGTGTAAAAATTAAACTCAAAAACGTGTACAATGAATTCAAGCGCGTAGAAAAAAAGAAAAAATTATTGTCTGAATGTGTACCATTGATTTTTATCACGGCTTACCTATTATCACAACTATCTATTGTATTTTGTAGTTTTAGATTGTAGCTAAGAGTGTTGTAAATTTGTTTAAAATGAGCTTGTTCGATCCATCTGTCAGTGTTTTTGTCGGAGATGATAAATTTACCGGAGATGCCTACGTTGACCAGACAACATCAAAGCAATCCAATTCCAGTGGCGCCCCTGTTTCCCATTACGAAGTTCCCGTGCATGTGGTTTTACCATTCGAAATGTGCGACGCCCTCCACCGAGGAAAAGACAGCAAATTCCTGGAAAATCTGCAGCTTCGTTTAGGCAACGATGTTTACACGTTGCAGGGAAAAGATATTTTGGATGCTAAGCTCTCGAATCAAGATGTGATCACTCTTAAAGATGAACAACACGTGAACATGATTGACTCTTGGCGGCCTCCCGTTTATAATAACTTAGAGGTCGATTTATCTTACGTGACCGGCGCCGTTTCCCAAACAGTCCCAATGGGCGACATCAAAGTTCCGCTTGTGATTCGAGTTCCGAGCGAAAGACCTGCCGACGTCAACCAAATATCAGTCGTATCGCCGAGAGACTTGACGCAAGAGATGACGTCACGGTCGGAAAACGAAATAACAAAAAGATTTGATTCTGTGATGCCTATATCTCAATACACACCACGAGAGGGCGTCGACCAGACAATGCCCGAAATGTTCTCGGATCCGAACGAAACAGTCCAGTTACGAGCCAGAGCAATTTTGAACCGGGGTGTTATCCCAGACGACATCAAAGGAATTGATCATTACAAACCGCCTCTGGATTTAAGAAAGGCGGATAATTCAAGACAGACGTCGGCGATGAAAATGTCGGTTAGGAGTTACAACTCGAACCCCTCGGGGGTGTCGAGGTACACAACTGGACCCAAATCTGGACACAGATACACCAACAGAGGGGTAAATGCAATATGTTGAATCAAGTGAACAATCTCCCCCTAAATCAATTTAGGGAGCAGATTGCTTACTAACCTTTTCAGCCTTTTCATAATTCAGCATTTCGCATGCTTACTGGTTTACTTTTTAAGCTTGCTGCGTTCACTTCGATTAAGTTGCGTGAAAATTGTTTTGCATGGCCATGGTTCGATATATCAACTTATCAGCTGAAGTAAGACTGAAAGGCTACGATCAGCTGCATACTACTACGTGATCGTTCCTTCGATTGTTTGAACACAATCTGATAATTCGCTCGCTCTAAGTTCACACAAAGGTATCATCTGTTTTTTATGTGTTTTTTTAACCTGAACTCCAGGTCAATTGTTTTGCATCAAATTTACTTAATTCCCATAAACCTGTGAACAGTTTCTGTGGCTGCTAAGGTTACCTAACGCAATCGGACAGATATCGCAAACGGAGTTGGCAAAAAAAACAACAGGAAATAGAAACAAGAGAATTCAAATGCTGTTCAAGTAAAACAGAATGTTCCCACCGCAATAATTTAAAATTAAAATTAAAATTAATGACAAAACTAAAAAAAATAGAAATTAATTGTTTTGTTTTTCAAAAAAGCTAAACAATCAGTTTCAATTTTTTCTCTAAATTCACAGATTTTTGTTTTTAGTTAAGGGTGACTGACTGAATTAGAGTTTTGAAAAACGTAAGACTAAGAAGTGATGATAGGTAACATAATGATGAAATTGCAGTCGAAATGAATTGGGAGGTCAACCTTCCTTGATATAGTCAAAGTTGGCTGAAAAAAAAAACATTGAAAATGGACACTAATTCATAGTTCAATTCCACTATTCGAGAATAATTGGAACAATCGTCTTTTTTGTAATTTTTTCGGACAATAGTATTGTTGAAAGAACATCATGTTAAGTGTTTCTAAACTGAAACAGTAAGCGCTTCTGTAATCTTAAAACTAGAACAGAGCTCAAAGATCCAGCTCCGGAAAAGCTAATAAAAAATATATCAAAACAGCTGGTCATTCTACGGCACTTTGAAAACCGAGATTGTTTTGCTTTCATTTTGAGCTGACATTTTTGCTGCTTAGAAAAAACGGAAGAATTTAACCAGAATTGGCAGAAAAAAAATTGGGAAATTATTTTTAATTTAAAAATAAACAGAGCAGACAAAATGTACCCTAGTCCCTTGACAGACCACTACAATTATTTCCAAAACCGGAAGGTGAGTCAAAAAGCAATTGAAGGCCAGTATTTCTCTTGCGCAACATAATACATCTCATAGCAAGATGTTAAATTACAGGATGTCAAAATTTCTGAAAAGTGAGATATAGAGCTCAAATTTAGTAGTTTCACCAGATTTTGTTCTCTGAATTGCCATGAATTTTTTTGCAAACTTACCATAGATCAAAGAGCGTCTTCATTTACCAAGAAATTATACTTATTATGAATTTTCGGTATAAAATTTTTCCGGAAGTTGAAGCAAAAGCCATTCAGTGAGGATAATGACACAAAAAGAAAACAAACCACTTTTATTGTGAATTGAAGTAATTGTCAAGCTCCAATAGACAACCCTTGGCATCATATATTTTTGTATTTTCAACTAAACAAAGCTGATGACAGAAGACGGAAGCGCAAAACTCATGTCACAATTGCTTCAATACCATCTTTTGTCTGATAAAAGAAAAACTTTAATAGGCTCATTTTTTGCCTGATAATGGGGTTTGAAAGATTAATGATAAGCTATACAATCACGCCAAAAGCAAAAGGAAGCTTTGTGAACTCGATTTTTTTAACGCGAAAGCTCATAATTAGATAATTGGAAAAAGACGCCAGTTCGTTTGAATGAACAAACGTAATGAGGGGTTTTGACGTCAACTTTGGCGAGAAGAACTTTTTTCCATAAAAAGAACATTAGTTGGTAGAAAAATTGGTTTGTCACCACAAAAAAGCTCTCTTTTTATCTGCTTTCTCTAAAATGTCTTACTGTTTCTCATGCTCAATGATAATATAAGTACTCTCAAATTTGACAGTTGATAAAAACTAAAAATGAGAGTCGGTCACGGTGCAAATCGGACACAATGTTTCGATCACAGTAGCTAAGGAAAAAAAAATTCCAAAATTGAGTAAACTTTTTCAAGACATCGAAATATTTTGTCCGAAGTTCTTATTGCTCCAACTTTCGATACAAAAGTAACGGAATATTTGTGCTCGGGTTGGGTTTTTTTTTTCAGACAAACTTCGACTTTTTAACTAGCCATTTTTGACGTAATTTTTTTTTCTATCATTCAAAAGGTATTGTTGTCCTGAGCTTAAATTAAAAAAAAATTCACCTGTGATCATTTTTCGTCAAGTTATGGGGGTTTAAAGATTGCCATTTTGGCCAATTTGGGACAACTAACGCGTGATATATTTCGCGCTATTAACGCGCAAGCGGAGATTTAATCCGTCTTAGAAATCGTTCCAAATTGGTTGAAAGAAGATTATTTGCCATAATTGATTTGTTCCAATGAGCGAAATCTATTCTTTTGTACTTTAAATGGCGTGTGGGGGGACTATTTCATAATAAAATTTCAAAGTCGGAATAATAAGTACATTCGGTCAGGGTTGGATTTAAGAGGGGGCGACCCTGCCGACCCAAAGGTACTTTTCAAGAAATCCAATTTTGGCCGACCAACCCTTCAAGAAATCCAAATCATACCTTTGTCTTTCAGTATGGAGCAAGTACGAGCTCAGTGCTGAACTCGGGCAGGGCTAGAACCCGACGAACGCACTACTCGGAGCCGATTTACTCCACATCACACAAGGAGGAGATGAGGACAGGCGCCCCCACCCGATACACGACCCACGGGGGAGAACAACCCCTCGGTATACCTCTCATAGACGAGGGGGAGGAAGAAGACAACTCTGTCAGGTAGATTAACACAAAATTTGGTTATTAAATAGAAAACTGGGTTATTAACAGAAAACTGGATTAATAATAAAAAAATTGGTTATTTATAGAAAACTGGGTTACTAAAAAAACTTAGTTTTTAATAGAAAACTGGGTTATTAATAAAAAAATGGATTATAAAGGCGGCTTAACTTCTGCATAGACTATGCAATTTGAGTCTCTAAATGGTATGCAGCACGACTTTAACAGTCTGGACATGAGTCTGATATGGTGTATTGAAAGTCTTTTTAATGCGGTCGACTGAGCAGAATTTTTAAAATCGTCTGTATTTCATCAGCTTTTCAAAAAAATCGGAGGTTTTTAAATATTTGTTGCAAATTTAATTTTTTCTAAGAGTGTTTCCTTCTGAAATGAACTTTGAAGAAAGTTATATTTTTGCAGATACACAGTCTTACGCTTTGTTTTATCCGTGTAAAGTGTAAGTAGTAGTAGTGTTTTTACAGAAATAAAAAGTTATATATCGGAATTTAAAAAAGACTCACTTTTTGTGTGAATCGAAGTAATTTTCAAGCTCCAGTATACGACCTTGGCATCATATATTATTGTATTTTCAACTAAACAAAGCTGATTACAGAAGACGAAAGCGCAAAACTCAATGTCTCAATTGCTTCAATGCCATCTTTTGTCAGTTAAAAGAAAAATTTAAATAGGCTCAATTTTTGTCTGATAATGGGGTTTGAAAGAATAATGATAAGCTATCCAATCACGCCAAAAGCAAAAGGAAGCTTTGTGAACTCGATTCTTTTCAATCTCGATTGTTTTTTTTTGTAAATAGAATCCCCATAGAATATATTTCGTAATTTAAAAAAGTATTTTTTTTGTAAGTATACCAAAAAAGCCTTATTAGCGCGAAAACAGATAACGCAGCAGATGAGAAGTCAGTGTTGGCTGAGTCGAAGACTTTTGTTTAGGAATGGATGGGGCGAAGGTGTTATGTACTAGATATAGGAGAAAATTGTGAAAGCCATGTTTTTTATTGTTAAATTATTGACAAACTTTAGTTCAATATACTATTTTGAACGAAGTGAATTAAATTAAAGGAGCTCATTGGTTGTCAGGCATCAATTTTTTTAAAATCATTTTAGCACTTCAAAAACTTGTCAAGACATCTTATTATCCAGAAAATTGATGTTGTGTGAATGATTTCTGAGTTATGATTCCTATAGGACTATGGGGAGGCACAACTACCGCCCCCCTCAACACAGAAGGGTGGACAAGGCGAAGACGATCACGTTCTACAGAAATGGGGACGCCCAGTTCCCCGGCTACACGACCAGTGTGTCCACCAGAGAGTTCAGGTCATGGGAGACGCTGCTGGTCTTCCTAAGTGACAAAATCAGCCTGCCTTACGGAGTCCGGTGAGCAAACACAATCTAACCATGGGATTGAATCAAATACTTAAAGTTGAATAATATAAATCATTTATACGCGGCAGTAAAGGGTAGTGTTGCATTGCTACAAATGTTCAAATCGAGAGTTCGAACGTTTGACACAAAGATTCGAACGTTCATTCGAATGTTGAAATTCCCAAATTTTCTGAGCAGCAATTTTTTTCAACAAAAAACTCGAACCTTCGCAAAAAAATTAATGAAATATTCAATTTCTTGTCACGTAGTTAACAAATACCAATTATCACACATGAATGAAGATTTGCATATATCAACATGCTCCCCAGATAACAAACTGCGTTTTTTTGTTACCACATCACCAGCTGTACTAAAAACACGCTCTGGTGGTGTGCTCGATCCTTTCCAACCAATTTGTGGCACTGCGTTAGCAGTAACTAACCTTGGGTGACACATAAACGGTCACTGCAACTGCAATAAGTGTATTTATTAATGTCATATAATTAAATTATTATTATGTAAGCGTGGTCAGGGCCATCGGTGGTGCTAGAATCGTATCAATGATTTATTCAGTATTATGTACTCCCGTATGCAAACCAGTAACAAATCTCAGCTACGATAAACCTTGTTAAAACATCAGTTAACAAGTTAAATTTAACAGTACTTTATCCGCGTTTTATACACCACAAAGTTAGACAGAGTTTGGGAATATCACATGGCGCAGCCAGCAGGATTTCTATCTCAGGACAACAGAACTGATATGGGAATTCCTGTTTTCTGGACCACAGCGAACTCCGACCCACCCTGGAATTTTAAAGTGTGGTTCGACCAGTTCCTGATGACCGTAAAAGTAAAGGAAAATGTTAACCCATATGTAATTCTGGAGGATCCTAAACCTGTTTTAGAGGAACCGGAACCACGTCCGGAAACGCCTCGAGACGGTCAAAACACTGCCGCGACAGCAGATCGAGAAGCACGGGATAGACTGTTAAGAGACCTGCGTAGCAGCAGAAAATGAAGAGAGAGGAGAAAGAGGACCAAAGGTTGGTCACAACATCTATTAAAACGAGGTGCAAAAACGTCTAGAGTCCAGGCTATTTCTGGCGTTTGGAACGGAAGGAAAAAAACGATTTGTTCAAAAAAAATCCACACGTTGAGATTTCTAAACTGGAGAAGCCCTGCGTTGCAAGACACACTTACGTTTGGAACATTGCCACCCGATGAAGTGTTGAAACGTGCATTAAAATTTGAACAAAGTAAGCAAACAATACAAGCCTTTCAGAAATCGACATTTGGTACTGCACAAACAGTATCGCAATCGATTTCGCAAATAAAGATAAAACAGGAACCGATTTTGGCAGGAGGAAACAGGAACCAGCCAAATAAAAGATTCAATCTAGAGAGGAATCGACGAAAACAGCCGGATGGAAGGGCACCAGCCAAGTATAATATAGACAACAGGAAACGATGCAATACATGTGGAAAACCTTTTACGGAAGGACATTTAAAAAATTGTGCAGCCATGGGAAAACAATGCAAGAACTGCAATGAAACGAACCACTTTGCACGCATGTGTCGTTCACAGCAGGTAAACGAAATAACAGTAAATACAGAGAGCTCAGAGGAAGAGTGCATTTTCATACAAATATTCTTCTTCCAATATGTCCAGTGCCGACTTAGCTGCTTGCGCAGTTAATGCAGCATGAAACGCCTCAAACGAGTCCCCAACTTCTTGGGATCTATAAAACAGTTTGTATCGCTCTTAAGTACAACTCTGGCATTTTTCAAAAGTAACCTTCGCCAATCTGACCATTTCTTTAAATTCCAGTTCGGAATCTCAACGTGTGGATATGTCCATCGAACAAAACAACAGTCAGAGGGAGAAGATTAATAGATACATCAAAGAAAAAGTGGAAAAAAATAACAAAGTTGGAACTCACAACAAAAACTAGAAATTTTCGTCGAGACCCAACTTCAGAAAGTATGAAATCATTAAAGGCATCAATTCGAATTGATAATCAAATAATCAACATTACTATTGATACAGGAAGCCCAATATCTTTACTGAATTGGACTGTAGCAAAACAAGTACTCGATTCTTCTGGGAAGGTACAATTTACATCCTCAGAACAATTGAACTTGCCAGCACAATTTGTTGATTATAACAAGAAACCCATCGTAAAATTGGGAGCACTGAAAGCGAATATACCTTCGGCCGGTTGGGAAATTCCTAATGCCACTTTCCTAATCACAGAAAGGCGGACGCGGTGCATCGAAGGGCTAGACTTACAAAACGAAATTGGTATCAGTACTACCCAAAAACTGGCTCCAAAAAAAGTCTAGATTTGACGTACTCTCGTGAGAACAGTCGGAGGAGTGGAAAGAAAAGTTTCATGCAAAATTCAAAAATCTGTTAAACCGTCAAGGACGATCGATACAAAATGTGGTAAACACTACATTTAAGTACCCACTCTGCCCAATTCAGGAAAAGGGGAGGCGAATACCAATCCATGTACAGGAGAAAGTCGAAAAAGAAACGACAAACTACTGCTGGAGGGTCACGTTCAAAGGTTAGATAAATGTACCAGCGATTGCTTTATCGCCCCCATTGTCATTATTGTTAAGAAAGGTGACTCCATCAAGTTAGCACTAGACGCCAAACCTATAAGTCGGCAGTTGTACAAAGATAAGTACCAATGCCAAATGTAGATGAAATGCTAGATGGGGTCAGTCAAATCGTGACTGCACAAGCAGCCAGTACTTTATTTTTCACTGTTCTTCATTTGAAATACGCATACAGTCAACTGAAGCTAACACCTGAAACTGCAAGACAATGCAATTTCAATATAGTAGGGGAAAGGCAACGGGCACATATCGATTTTTGACTTGAATCTATAGTTTGGCTGATATGCCAGCAGAATTTGAAAAAGCAATGGTTCGCACACTGAACAATTTGAAAAACACGTTCTGTTTTCTAGATGATATATTGATAGTTTCAAAAGGTTCAGAGGCAGAACACGAAAACTAATAACAGATGTCTTAAAAAAGCTATAGAGAAAACTTATCTCTTAAGCTATCAAAATGTGAATTCTTTAAAACCGAAGTAAATTGGTTAGGGTATAAACTATCGGAAAATGGAGTTACACCGAAAATCACAAAAACGGAAGCCATACTCAAGTTAGAACATCCAGGTTCATTAAAACAACTCAGATCTTTTCTGAGGAGCATAAACCATCTTTCGAAGTTTATCCCGAATGCAGCCACCCTTACGGATAAGCTGCGACCACTGTTACTTGAACAGAATGAAAAAAAAATGAAAAAATAAAAGTCCCCGTCCAAAAATTCGAATGAGGCCCTGAATATAAAGTAGTATTCGAATACATTAAAAAAATAGTAGCAAATATATTTAAGCTAAATCACTACGACACAGCAAAAGAAACACGAGTGAAATGTGGTGCAAGTCATAGTGGGTTGGGACTGGGTTAAAACAGGCAGAATCAGGAGGGGAGCGCTGGACAGATCGGGATCAGATAGCTTAGACAAAGACAACTATGCTGCACGAGCAGTAACGTGGAACCAAGATGCAATTGAAACTAAGAACTTGCTGTCAATCTGGGACTTAGTCAGTCAGGAAAAAGAATATTCGGGAAACATTCGAGAGCTGGAGGCGGCAACACAAATGCTCACCAGCAGCCCGAGGTCTGGAAATCAATCAAATTCACCTGTGAAATCCATCATTGAAATTGACCTAACCGCAGAGGACGACGATAACAACCAGGACGTAAGTGTAACCCAATCAACAAGAAGGATCAACAAAGGCCGAAATAAACTGTACGAATCGCTAGAAGACATGAGTAACGTTGGAAATTTTAGTCTGTCTAAGTTATTCGACAAAACTTTGCTGGCCGAACTCATCTCGGAAGATGTATGGATGGACCGTTAACGTCGCTTGATAGAGAGAAAGGACCGAGCACGAAATGAATTAATGGACCCGTATACGAACCCACTATGGAACCAATTATCTGTGGTAGACGACTGCATTCTGGTCAAAAATCGTCTAGCAGTTCCGGTACAACTCCGACCGGCGGTCATGAATAGGATTCACAGAGGTCATCCGGGGCAAGAGGCCATGATCGATGTGTCGAATTATCTGTGGTGGCCCCATATGCATAAAGATATCGTGAACCTCGCTGAAGAGTGTCGAGAATGCACTAGCTATGGTAAGAACGCAAAGTAAATTATCCCTAAAAATTCCTCTCAACCTCTGCCTCTGCTTTCGCAGCCCGGACAGGAGGTTCAATAAGATTACGCGGGTCCTTTAGAAGATGGTAAGGAAAAGAAAACCTACTTGTTATCAGCGATTGATAGATACTCGAAATTTCCTCCGGTCAAGGTTACGAAATCAACGGGGGAAAATTTTAACGCTCATACATCGATACTCACGGAATTCCGGAATCGATGAAAACAGACCAATTCTCGGGATTCAAGGGAAAAGCGATGAAAAAATGTTGTGTAGAAAATAACATCGAACAAAAGTTCTGCCCCGTGGGGATCACCACGGATGTGGGTTAGTTGAGAGGACAATTCAAACAAAAAAAAGACGATTGGGGGTAATGCTACTGGAAGAAAAAGTAAAATCGATCAAGTTTTGTCATAGCACAAAAATTCGAGATATGCGTTGGATTTAACAGAAAACGATCCAGAAATCACCATTTGAGGCACATTTTGGCAGACTAACAAAAACGGAGTTTAAAATCATTCGTGACAAGTTCTTAACGTTTTCTGATCATTTAGATAAACAGCATCTGGAGAGATCGGCACTGACCGCCAGCCAGATGGATAAGAGAATAGACCAATCACGGGACTCACTCAAAATTGTCAAAAACGGTCAGAGGAGTCGAGACGTTAGCCCTCTTCTCAAACCAGAAAATATGACGACTCAAGAAAGAAATCGAGCAAGAACTCTCAGAACATTACTGGAGGCAATCGCTAAATGGAACTCGGAGCGCCGGAATTTTGAGGGACAGGACCTACAACAGCTAGTCGATGCTACTAGCACCATATACCCAGAACTTCGAAACGAACTCCACTATTCCTGGGAGTTAGGGTTCGTAGAGGACAAACCCAAAGGATCGGAGTGGAACAGCCAAAATAAACTTAGACGGGACGAGAACCTCAAAAATTGGGCAGGGCTGACTAAGCATTTCAAAGGAAAAGTAGCGGCTGAGTCGCCAAAGGCAATCACAACAGCTGCGGGCGCAGTATATCGGAAAAATGATCTGGCCAAAGCGGCGATTGCCCTAAAAAAAACACCGAAGGAGGGAACTAGTCAGGAAAGAAAAGCAAAAAGCCCACTGGAAGAGCCTAAACGTAAGCATTAAAAGAAGGATGCTGAGCAGGACGAAGAAACCGAGTCGGAGGAGGAAGAGAAAACCCTTTTGACGAACAAACAAAAGATCTCTTCCAGAACAGCGACAGTATAGTCACTTGGAGGGAAACGCCTACAGGTGGGGGACTTAATAAAGCAGTAAGGAGAACGAAACCAAACCAAGGCGGCCCGATAATGAGGGGGCCTAAGACTCAAGACTACGTGGCAATCAAGCCAAAAGAAAGAAAAACAAGAAAAGAAAAAAGCTGCACCAGCAGCGGAGGAACTTCCAAAAACCAAAGCCGGCGGAGACAATAAATTCTCAAGACCAGCCTAGCAGCTCAGGAGGTTTAGACAGTGTTAAATCAAAACCGTCAAAGAAACAGATTATTCGGGACACATCTCCAAGCTCAATTCTGAACGCATTCCAGAAGCAAGACATGGCTCCAGGGGAGTGGCAAAATCTCGAGGATCAAGCACTTACAAGAGGACTACAAAAAACAGCCGAGGAAATACTAAACTCAATGGAGACTGTCAAGAGAACATTGCTCTCAACCGGGTTTCTCGGACGAATTGGTGATTGACGAGCAAACGGGAACCAGTGTCAGACGTAGTAAAAGAACTACAAGATTCGGTAGCCCAGTAAAGCATTCAGTTAAAGTAATAAGTACCGATGAGGATATTGCAGACCTGAGTGAGACGGCTTTGGAACAGTAGATATAAGCTTGCGAACTTAAAGTCGGACCCGAGGAAGCCATTGGAAACGAGACTAAATCTCCTTGAACGGCATCTTTTCCGGAGAAAATTCGGCTACTCAGCGTTAGACAAATCACGACCATGGAAAACACAGTGGAAAGTACCACTAGATCTTACGCGAGAAACAAATCAAAAACTGTCCTCTAAAAACTTTCGACACCTACCGGATCACAAACTGAGACAAAAACTATTGATAGGTTATTAACCTTAAAATTTTATATGTATCTAATAAAATTTTATTGGTCCTCGGGGGAATGTGGCACTGCGTTAGCAGTAACTAACCTTGAGTGACACATAAGCGGTCACTGCAACTGCAGTAAGCGTATTTATTAATGTAATATAATTACATTATTATTATGTAAGCCTGGTCAAGGCCATCGGTGGTGCTAGAATCGTATCAATGATTTATTCAGTGTTATGTACTCTCGTATGCAAACCAGTAACAAATCTCAGCCACGATAAACCTTGTTAAAACATCAGTTAACAAGTTAAATTTAGCAGTACTTTATCCGCGTTTTATACACCACAAAGTTAGACAGAGTTTGGGAATATCACACAATTACAGAGCAGCATGCGTGAATTGCAATTATTCACACTCACATGACAACTTTGCTCTAGAATAATCTACATTCGAATGATGAAATTAGCATTCGAATGTCAATCTTGCGAATGAACATTCGAACGTTCGAACTATTGTTGCAACACTAAAAAAGGAGGAGGGAGGGGGAGGGGAGCGGGAGGGGTAACTGCTCTCTTTTTCATTTCTGGTTCCAAATTGGTTTCGAAAGTTTCATTCCCCTTTTGGGAAAATTTTTTCGACACCCATTTTTGGCTAATTCACCCTAAAATTTTTCTACAGGTGGTTTTTAGCGCCAATCTACACTATTTTTAGATGTTAAGCGGACCAAAAAGCATTGTTTTTCAAAATGTGCCCGAAAACTATTTTAGTTAAAACTATGGAAACTTTTTCCGTAAACTTTTTCTAAATATCGTCAAATTGATTTTTGTCTCATTTAAATCTAGTTAGTGTTTATGAGAAATTGTGCTATGATGATCTTTGAATTTTCAGGTACATTTACACGCTGGGGGGTCAATTAATCCAGAGTATTCTCTCTATGGAAGACGGACAGGCTTACGTGTGTGCCAGTGGCCAGTTTGTCGTAAATGTTCAATTCGGAAACTCAAACGAGACGAAATGGAAACGAAACAGAAAAAGCTCGGGTGGCAAAACCCGAAAAGCCGACACGAAACTGTTGGAGGAGACGAATGAAGAAATAATTGAACTGGCGACGGGGTCTGCTAGACGCGGCGGAGCGTCGCGAGGAAGCAACATGGTTTACAGGAGACAGTCTAATGACGTCCCAGCTGCGAACCCAAATGTTATTACAGTAATTAGCAATACTCACAGGTAATTTTTTTGTTTAAATAAAAAAACAATTTATTAAATAATTTTAAAATTTAAAATCAGTTAACACAAATTAATCTAAAAGTACTAAATCGTGATACCCGCTGGATTTTTTCCTTTCTCCTGCATGCGAATTGTTACAAATAATTTTTGTTCACATTGTCCGATTGCTACAACATTTGACATGCGGACTAATTCGCCAAGACAAACTCATTTGGTCTTAATAGCCTTATAAAAAATTTCGTTGCACCATAAAATCTATGCTCATGTGAAGTGAGGGAAAAGGAAAAAGAGCCTACCCGCTCTTCGGCCCTTTACGTCTTTTTTCGATTATTTTTCTGGGCTGAGAAGTGTTCTTTCTCCCGCAAGCAATTAGTACGAACCATGCCTGGCCTCGAACCACCGACTCCTCCATTGACACGCGGAGAACGTAGCCACTTCTCCAGGAACTCAACTATGTTTAAAGGATGAAACTATTGTTTTATTGTTTTTTTTGCTAGCTAAGAGTGTAAATTAGGTTGAAAAGTAGTGGATATAACTGATTCGTTTATTTGGTGTGTATAATAGGGACAGCAGGGCGAAGATGATAGTGAACCCGCGGACTAGACAGAGTTTCATGGACTTCCTGGAGGACATCTCGTCCAATATTGCCATGTCCTCGCCCCCAGTCCGGAAACTGTACACCGCGAAAACTGGCGAGCGGGTGGGTGGATAGTCGTTTCTCATAAAAAATAATTTTGCTGTGTAGCAACACAATGCTCTGTGGCCATAAGCTGTGCTGTATGATTAACTACTAGCCGTTTAAACAAGGTCACGACCCGTAGGCTTGTTGACATCTTGTTTATCGTTTCTCTACGCAAGTAGGAACCAACATTCGAGATGCTGAGGTCTTTTAGGATAATCTCAAATTTTTAGAAATGTATTTCAAATGAAAAAAGGTGTAAAAATGTTTTTTTTTAGGTTACGTCATTTTTTGACATGTTCGGAAAATTCCGCTTTCACGAGTCCTTCATAGCTTGCGGAATGGAGAACTTCAAAGGAAACATGAACGGAAACCATTTGAAGCTGCCGCCTACAATATCAGAGGGCTCCGAAGAGCAAAACTCATATTCGAACCAGTACAAGACCAATTTAAAGCAACAGAATGTGGCAAACAACCGAAGAATAAATAACAACAAAAGAAGACCGTTAAGGACTTTACAACAACTTGAGAACTCCATGGAAGCTTCTATGAGTCCACGTGACATGGACAATGATCGTAATAACAGGAATGGCGTCGGAGTGTCTATGGACACCAGATTTGGAGACAGATCAGGTACTATAAAGTTTTTTGTATTTTGTATTTTTTTTGTATTTGGAAATGATGGGAAAAGTTCTGGTAACAGCAGATATGCGTTTCAGACAAGTATAGAATCATCAATTATTCGAAGCAAGACTCATACATTTAGTGGTGTTTTATTTGTTTAATTGACCGAATTAATGAGGATTTTTTGCGAACTAAATTGTTATTCTGGTGGTTGAAAAGAAAACATTTTTTATAATATCTAACTTATGCAATTTAGTTTTGTTTTGAATTAATTTCAATTTGGGTTGATTTGTTTTTAGAAGCGGAACACGTGTTAGATGGCGAGGCAGAGCGAAGGAAGTTGTTCAACGATGACATGATGGAGGGGGAGGGACAGGGGGGAGATTTTGAAGAGGATGTGGTGATTGGGGGGCAGAGCGAGGGGGTGGTGGGGATGAGAGGTGGAGAGGGGGGCACTAATTACTCGTTCCACAACCAATACTCTAACAGTCAGCAAAATACAAATTTGAGAGGGACCAGAAACGAAATGATTACAGGTGATATGAAGAACAATATAATCCGAAGGTATTTCGAAAATATTTCAGATTCGACAGAAGTTTTTTTAAAATCAAGCTTTTAATCACAAAATCAACAAAGGAGAAAATTTGCAAGTATTATTATGGACATCTTTATAGTTCTGGAGAGCATGAGTCATGAGTTTCAATCATTTCTAAAATTATGAGTTGAGATAGCTCAGGCAGATTTTTAAATTTGATAATTTTATGAAAAAAACTTGAACTTTGATCTAATTTTTATTAAAAATGTAAAATTTGCTATTGAAACGTTCAAAACACTATTTATCGCTGATTTAAAAAAGCGATCAAGTTGAATTAGGTTCATATTTTTTTACACAAAGGCAAACCTAAACTTTGCTCATGGAAGTGAGAAAATGGCAAACAAGCTTTTAAAAGACAAAAATAAAGTGAAATAAAGTAAATGAGCCTTGAAAAACTCAAACTTTTGCTCTGTGCCGAAGTCGTATATCTAACCTGGAGACTAGTATTCTCAATTACTGACATCTGCGCCAAGGTTGCATGAAAACTGACTAACACTAACTACCAAAAAAGCAGCAATTCTATTCAGCACAAGAGCCAACAAACAAAAAAAACTAATTAAATGAACTGGAATTGAACTAAGAACAGGTAGCTTAGGAGTCTCACGTCCTCGCATCTGCACTGCGGTCGCTTGCTAAAATTAAAGCTCAGCTAAAGCTGGAAATGCATGTTTGATAATTTTAAAAAACAAGTTCAGAACGAAAACGTAATGAGTATTGTTAAAAAAAGATTAATTACCAAGTTCATAGCTGACTTCCATTCAACATTGTTTTTTCATAAATTTTAGAACGTACGAACTACGCAGAAAAATCCAAGTAACTATTCTTTCATTTCAACCCTTGCTCTCAGATTTCATAGGGTATAGTTTTTATCATAAAGTTTCAAAAATCCGTCAAAAATTTCTGAAGATGAGTTTTTCTTAATCAAGACTTTTTTTACAAAATTAATGCTAATTAATGCTCCCGCAGACAAAACTTTTCTAAAACCTTTACAATCGATTGAACCCATAATCTCAGTATGGCTGGGTAGTTTTAGAAAAAACTTGAAGCTTCCAAAACATGGTCAAAACTTCAAAATTAGACAAATTATATAGCTATAACTTTTTTCCACGAACGCAAAGACGTAGTTGTTTAGGCAGAGATGAACCCTCACACTAAATCTTGCAATTCTTCCTTGATTTTAAATTTCTGGCAGGGTATTTTTGAGATAGAGGAAAATTTCTCCAAGGAACTGTTAAAGTCGTAAGTTTGGAAATTCAAAAAGGTTGTTAATAAGTTATATTATAGGCAAACTGTTAGGCATCAAATCGAAATCTTACTGCACTCTTTTATTTCAGATCCCATCGGACATTAGAGATCGCAAGGTCAAGACAGCATGTCCCCAGACAGAAAGAAGAATTGATAGCACTTACATAAACTCAAACTGGTGTCTATCTAGAAGAATTGATAGCACTTACATAAACTAAAAACTGGTCCCTATATCATTCGGGCAACCACAAATAAATTTTAGCGTAGATAAAATTTATCAACTTTATGTTATTGTATTGTATTGTATAAATGTACTAGTTAAGTTTTTAGTTTTTGTTGAGTTTTCTCACCCGCCAAACCTCTCTTAAGGTTACCTTTCTCCTTTTCTCGTCTTGTCGATTCCATCATTTATGTTCTATGCGGTGGATCATAACCCCCCCCCCCATTTTGTCAACTCCGCGTCTCTGCCGTGTTGATTTTCGCGTCGCCATTTCGTGCTGATTTTTATTGCGTTTTCCACCGACGGGTCGTGGTGAGTTCACACTAACCGACGGTACATCCTGTCCTTCGTTCGCCGCACCTATGGTTGGTTCCCTTCGTCCGATTTCCCACTCACTATCGTATTCGTCGTCGTCGTCCTCGCTCTCGTCCTCCGAGTATTCCACTATTCGCTGTTTTGTTGATTTTCTTGCATTTTCCATTGCGGCTCGGTCCTTCTCCGCTTTTCGTTTATATTTATTCGAATCGCTTGGGGCCGGTGTACTGGTCACGTTTCTACTCGGTCCAGGGGTGCACTCCTCGCTTTTATTTCCAATTAGGCTTTCTTCAGCCGCCGATCTAAAAGACACACCACTCCGCCTTAGTAACGACCCTTTTTTCATTTGCACCGTATGTTTTGTCATTTTGTCAATTTTTAATGGCAAACGTTTATACCTCCTTGGGTCCTTTAGATCCGTCTTCCCGGTCCTCTGATTCACCGTCGTTGAACTTGTTTTATGCCTTTTCAGCCATGTTGGGGTCTTGGGTGGGCCTAGTTCCTTGGGGTCCACAACTTCCGGAGCCTTGGGATCCGTTACCACGTCATCGTCCAAAATGATTGGAGCTTTCCTATTTTGAGGGGCGAACACTAAGTCACTTCTCTTCTCCCAATCTCGAGTAAGTTCAACTTCTGGGAGGTTTCCCGCCTTGTCTAAACAAGATAACTTTTGATTAACGACATTGTTCCAATTTAGGTTTTTTAATGACGGCTTTTTCGTTAAGTTTCGCAGTGCCGTATTAGCTTCTCGACCATGGTATGCTTCGAACGGCGTTAGTTTAGTTTTAGAGTGTGGCACGAAACGTAGTGCACTAAGCGCACGGGAGATCATCTCCCCAAATTTGTAGTTTTTATTTTCCTGGAGATAAGTCAACACGTAATTTTTTATCGACCCAATAGTCTGTTCAACCATTCCTGTTGCGCGATGGCCCCTAACCGGAGATTTAATAAGTTCAATACCTTCGTAGTTACAGAAGTTTTGAATTTCGTTAGAGAAAAACCCCGTGGCTTGATCCATGTGCAATTTCCTTGGGTGTCCATGAGTATTTATGTACTTCCTTAGGAATTTCAATACACTTTTTGATTTGTTGCTTGAACAAACATACGCCGACGGCCAATGCGAGAAAGTATCTACTGCTACAAGTACATATTTTTTCCGACCCCTAACATAGTTTACTGGACCCCAGAAGTCTAATTGGACCAAATCATTTGGTTCCTTAGGATTATACGTTTCCCCCATGTCATTTTTGGGAATGTCTGGCTTAAGGTTTTTACCTGCTTCTCAACAACTTTTGCAGTATTTGGCTGTGGCCGCAATATTTCGGTGGATAAGGGGAATCCACACGTCCTTTGCCGCCGCGAACATCATATCCCTCCCATGATGGTTATAATGGAGACGATTTAGAATTGCTGATGATAGGTCCTTCGGTATTGCTAACCGGCCGTCCATCCACAGGCAATTCTCCCTTACTGCGAAATCGTTGTAATGCTGGGCGTAGTATTGTCCTAATCTTGTAATAATCTCCTTTGCTCGTGGGTTCCTGTCTCTGATGTTGTCTCGGATGGTCTTCATAATTGGGTCTTTTTCAATGTTTGCTTTGATTAATTTTAAATTCAAAACTTCCGGGTGTTCAATTTTCTTCACGATTTTCCTATCCGACGGCACTTTGGAATAGATCCATTTTTCATTTTGTACAAGTGGGTACGATAAACCGGGGAACTGATGTGGAAAAGATATAATTGTATTCAGTTTTTTAGAATTAATTTGTTTGGTATCAAGTTTTTCAGGTGGTATCATTTCAAAATCGGAATCCAAGCTAACGCTGGGAGGTTGACTTAGGCGGTTTAACACAACATTTAGATTAACATTTCCCGAATTAGTTGATGTGTTGACTGTTGCCGAAGTTGGAGGATCATTCTTTTCTGGCGAATTACTCATGTTATTTCTCTCGGATTTGCTACTGTATTTTTTCAAAGTAACTGGCTTTTCACTATAATCTTTACTACTGTAAATTTTCAAAGTAGGTGGCTTTTCACTGCAATCTTGTAAGATGGATGGTTCGCAATTATAATTTTTTGACACCGAAGGCTTATACTTGTAATTTGTTGAAATGGAAGGGTTTCGAGGGTATTGAATCAATTTTTTGTGTTTGCAACTGTAATTTAAACAATGAGAACAAAGTCTGAATCTCGTTCTTCGGTATTTGCATATTTCCTCCGGTATGCAAATATCTCGACGCTGATTGGTTAACGGTCGGTTGCATGTAAACACGCCCTCTATTGAGCGTTTGTGCTTACGGTGAATATTTGCATAATCGTCTTTTCTTTCCTTCTCATTGGATGAAACTGCTTTCGTTGTGTCGAAACATGACTTTACGCCCCCTACCGTCGGTTTTCGCTGAATGTTGTTCACTTCTTGACCCCTAGGCTTCATTTTATCCTTGGGCCTCAACGCCGCGTTTATCATTCTTATCTTTGCTACTGTAAAATTTTCATCGTAATGGCTTGTCTCGGGTGCCTCTGCGGACGGAAACCGAGACAGATAGTCAGCCATCCCCATTTTTGACCCTTGTCGATGTTCAACCTTAAAATTGTATGGCACCAGGCGATCATACCAACGAGTTAAGCGACTGAAAAATGTTTTATTTCCTTTTGGTGACGGATTCAACAATGTAAGTAGTGCTTTATGATCAGATATCACTGTGAAATACCGACCGTATATATAATTCCGAAAATGTTCCGTGGCCCACACTACCGCGAGTAATCCCAATTCGTTTGTGGAGTATTTTTTCTCAGCCGGATTAAGGTAACGAGATGCAAACGAAATCGGATGCCACCCGGATGCCACCCGGATGCGCCATACTGTTCTAAAACGGCCCCTAGGCCATCGTGGCTAGCGTCACAAATGATTCTAGTTTCACGGTGAATGTCGAAATGTCGTAATTCGACGATATTTTTTACAAGCGATTTTAATTGTTGGAACGCATTTTCGCACACGGGTGTCCAGACAAAATCATTATTTTGGCTCAGTAGTGGCCTTAACGGTGCGCTTAACTCAGCAAGTTTGGGTAAAAATTTGTGTAAGCTATGTAACGAACCCATCAAGGATTTCAACTGCTTTCGAGATTTTGGGGTTTTCAAGTTTTCTTTAGCTTGTGTTTTTCTTAGTAAGGGCGTTATACCACTTTCCCTAATTCAAAATCCAAGCCATTCGCACTCAGTTTTCGCAAATTCGCATTTTCGCAATTTTAACGCGACATTGGAGACGTCCAGCTTTTTCAATATCTTTTCCACTAACGCAATAAGTTCGATTTTAGTTCCTTTTGAAGCAATTAAGATATCATCAATAAACGCGTTAGCCTGGGGGAACTCCTTAAGCAAATTATCTATTATCTTCTGGAATTCCGCCGGCATTGACGTAAGTCCGTAAAATCCGTTTTTAAAACGATGACTCCCCGTGGATTTTCCGCCGACTAGTGAGAAATTGCATTGCTCGCTTGTTTTTTGTTCTAATGCGACTTGACCGTACGCATATGTGAAATCCAATGTTGTAAAGTATACATTCCCCGATTTTTCTCCGCAATAATCTGACTTACTCCGTCAATTAATTCGTTAATATTCGGCATTTGGTACTTATTTTTGTGTACCTGTTTATTCAATTCTCTTGATTCTAGTGCTAATTTTATGCTTCCGTCCTTTTTTACTGTAATGACGATAGGAGAGACGAAATACTTATCTGAGCACTCTTGTAAATTTATGATATGTGCTTCATTTATCAGCCGATGAATCTCTTTATCCACCTTTTCTTGTAGACTGATTGGCACCCTACGCCCTTTTTGTTGTATGGGCTTCAAATTTTCAAAAAATTCAGCTCTTACTTTCGCATTCCGGATCTTCCCTATCCTAGTAAATAAATTTGGGTACAACTTACAGAAGTATGTTTGCAATTCGTCGTATTCCTCCTCCTCTTGACTGGTCCCTTCCCCTGTGATTCCCATCACTTTCTTCCTTTGAACTAGCTCGAGACCCAGGGTGCCCATCAGGTCGCGCCCAAGGATTGATTGATGATTTCCGGATATTACTGACACCCGCGCTGGTGCTGCCCAGCCATTTAGTGACATCATCACTGTTACCTTCCCTAGTATGTTTATTCGGTTGTTGTTGTAATCCAGAAATTCCTCCTTTGACGGTTGTAGTTGAATATTTGCTTTTCCTAACGTTGTTTTTAGGTCGTTTATGCTGAAGATAGTCACTGGAGATCCACTATCTATCCACAACCACATCTTCTTACCTGACACCTCCAATTGAACGCGGGCCCCAGGGATCTTTAATTCAGTCTCATTTTTCTTCCTTTTTATCAACATTACCATGTAGTCATCCGATCCCGACGTCATGGACTCGTTTTCCCCACACCCCTGCTGATTCACCCACGATACTGGGTCTTCATTCAATTCGTTTACGTTCTGCGTACTTTGATGACGCTCATTTTCCTCTCTGATCAATCCAACTCGTCCACGTCCTCTCCATTGGTTAGTACCCCTTCTAATTCCTCGGCATGTTCGTTCAAAATATCCCAGTTTTCGGCATGAGTTACATGTTGCTCCTTTTGCAGGACAGCTCGCGATGTGATCCAGGGTAAAGTTTGGCGCGTCGCAATTGTAGCACCTACGGTTATTTCCGCTTCCCCCACTACTACTTGGTCCTTGGGTATATCCTCCACGTCCCGCACGTCCTCGGCCTCGAAAAAATCCTTGTCCCCTTCTTATATTATTTACTGGTTCCTGTTTTATTGAAATTGCCGGAGCCGATGAAGCTGGTTTTCCCGTATATGATTTGTATGCGCGCTCACCACGTTCATATGATAAGGCGATCCGGTAAACTTCCTCCGATAACTTAGTTGATCGTGACAATTCTCGTTGGCAGTCCGATTCCCGCATATTCATAATGAAAATATCACGAACGTTTTCGGCCGCGTTTGCAAAATCACATCTTCCTGCTAGGGCACTTAGCTCCGCATGAAATTTTTAGAAAGTTTCGTTCTCACGTTGTTTTCGTCCGTAGAATAGTCCCCGCTCATGAGTTACATTCCTCTCACGTTGGAAAACATTTTGCATCTCATCCAGGACCCGTGGGTACCGTTCCGTTTTAATGTTAACCGTCGGTTTCCGTGCTTTAAATATGCGTTGCGCCTCATCTCCGATACAAAGATACAAGTTAGACTTTAACTTCTTTTCCGAATCGAGACGGTTTTTTCCATTGACTTCTTCAGGCAACGCCGTGATAGCCGCCGCATTTAGAGTACTCGCAAAATAGAAATCATCGGGATCAATGTCGTATTTTGCTATCATCCCCCAGTGAAATTTAATTATCCACTCCTCCCAAAATACTGGTGGTTCCGGCGTTCGTGTTTCCCAAAATGCTACTATATTTAATGGATTTTTCCCCCTCCTTTTTTCTCTGCTGGCTGCGCCATGTTAAAGTCGTAAGTTTGGAAATTCAAAAAGGTTGTTAATAAGTTTTATTATAGGCAAACTGTTAGGCATCAAATCGAAATCTTACTGCACTCTTTTATTTCAGATCCCATCGGACATTAGAGATCGCAAGGTCAAGACAGCATGTCCCCAGACAGAAAGAAGAATTGATAGCACTTACATAAACTCAAACTGGTGTCTATCTAGAAGAATTGATAGCACTTACATAAACTAAAAACTGGTCCCTATATCAGAACAATTAAAGATTCTGAGGCCACTTTCCGCGGTGATAATTCTTTTTATACAGAAACAAGGCGTGCAAAATTACGCAAGATAGATAGCCATAACAGGTTCCTATTTTTCTGATTATTTTTTTGATCTCAGATTTGGCAGGGTATTTTTTGAAAAAAGAAAAAATCCAAACAAAAGCTCACAATTACCCCACCGTCACAGAAAGTTTCGAAGGCCGTCGGGTAAGGTAAAATAAGAAGACACGTAGAATATGCGGCAAATAGGAGATTAAAAGATCTTTCCATTCGTTGTTTCGCCAATTTTGTGAAAAAATTAGTGCTACCAAAAGCAGCACCAATTTTAGCGGAAAAACTGGCCTCGTAGTTTCACACAACGCTTTGCTTGTAAAATTTTTGTCATGATATTTGCTGTCTCTACACCTGAAGATGACTTTTTGTATTTTTAATTCAATTCTACTGGTGCTATACTTCTTACAATTTTGTTCAAATTATCAAAATTTTGACAACTTTTTACGTTTTCAGTGCAACTGCGAGGCAAATCTCGTGATTTCTTCGTTCCCACCGAGTTCGTAGACGAAGATTTGGAGTCGCCGACGAGTAAGCCGAACAAGAAACTGAGTCTGGAGTGGGTGTATGGCTACAGGGGGTATGACAGCCGAATGAACCTGTTCTGTCTGCCCCCCTCGGGGGAGTTGTGCTACTACGTGGGCAGTGTGGCCGTCTTGTATGACAAGAGAGTGGAAGTTCAAAGACACTACACTGGTCATAATGAAGATATTTCCAGGTTACTATTTTTTCCCATAGCTGAAACCATAGTTTAAAAAGTTTCATTGAGTTTGTTTCAAGAGGTTTATGCTAGTTGCAACAGTTGAAGAAAGAAACTTTGACGACAAACGATCATGAAAAATGAAAAAAAATTTTTTTTGTTCAACCTGAAAGAAAGCAAATTTACAAGATGGGCAGGATGACCCTATAATTAAAATGTTGACACCTCGACACCCAAAGTGTCCCCCTTGTATCTACGTATTTTAAATTAGACTGGACAGTAATAGAAGTTTCGGTATGTTTAGCATGGCGGTCCACCCATCTGGAAGCATAATTGCCACAGGGCAGAAAAAAGGATCCGAAAAAGCGAACTGGGTGAGTACAACAATCCCCTGTGAGTTCTTTTGCAACAAGCCACAGGATTTTTCGCCACAAACTACAATTTAGACTAAAGAATCAAGCCCTTGAACCATTTGTCTCTTTTGTCAATAACTTTTGCCTAAATTTTTTAATTAAGTTTTAAAAGAAGAAGAAAAAAAGTTTTTTACTTCTCGAATAATTTAATCATTCTTCGACAAGCACGCAAGTTGTAGCAATCATCAAGAATCCGGAAGTAAAATGCCATTCACGATCCCTTCTTTCTGTTGCTTACAAGAACTTTTATTTTAATCCAGAAAATAAGCAAAAATAACGCATGTAGGAATCTTATTCAAGTCAGCAATAGGAGTTGCCTGCACAAAACTAGTATTTTTATGCTTTTTGGTGGGGTGGGGGTTACAATTTGCCGAGCATGTAGGGGCTATAGTGGGAAGGAGCATTCCTTCTGGCCTGAAAAAAAAACCCAATTGAACTTATGTTCTTGGTTCAGGGTCACGTGCGCATCTGGGACACTGATTCTCTCTCCACCCATGCCATCCTGGGACTGTCCCACTTCGACGGCGCCGTCTGCATCCTCAACTTCTCACAAGTCGTAAGTCAAACATGTGGAACCTGATCTAAACTACATTTTATGATTGGATAAATTAGATATTTTACCAATGTAAAGTATTTAATATTAACCAATCATGATCCATCTAACTAACAACCCACTTATTTGTAAGTGCTGAAGTTACTTGTAATTTCAGCACCAGAGAGATTTGAATTTAACTTAGAAATTAGTTGGACTCTCCCGAGCACTTCAGCAGCCGCAATAAACCAGTATACCCTAGATCTATTGAGCCTAGCAGAGACTAGTTAAACAACCTGAGACTAGATAGTATAAGAGTAAGATTAGGATCGGTATTAGACTAAGAAGTTGCACGAATCTATCCGGCCGAAAATAAGATAGCGTGACGAGCAGACGGTGTACCCTATCCGAAATTACTCTATGAGTTATACACTCCAGTCCTAACTCATCTGGTGCGACCATAAGTCTCGAACAAGACCTTAATAGCTTAGAATTAACCAAAATAGATTAGAAATTAGACAAAAACATTTACAAAATGTTATACGACAATAATTTAATCGAAATGTCTCTACGACTCAATAGATCAGAGCCAATATTCCGAACCATAACAGAACTACCCGGAATTGGAAGAAGACCTCGAACCAGAGACGACATACGACAAAGTAGAAACTTGCCATATAGCTATATGATAGTTAGGCAAAAACCAGAACAAACTTTTATATTTAGAATACTACTGGCAATGAATTTAGATTTTCATTTGCAAACATAAAACCTTGAAGTTAATCTTCAAAATCATTTCAGGCGCTAAACAAAATTACTAATATACAATAACGATTGATAAAAAGATCTAAGATCGTTTTCCTAAAACTCTGCAGTAATATACAAAACATGTTTGAAAAATAATTATTGAAAAATAAAAAATAAAAATTAGTAGCATGACAATAAATGGTTAGTAATCATAAATCATCCTGTTGTTCCAGCTCCATCACCTAAAACATAACAGCAATCATAAACCCACTAATATCATCAAAACACTAAATCTTTCCTTTACACACATTTAAAATTTTATTAAAACTTAAATTCACTTAATTTTAAAACCAGATCATCAAGGCTTATCCTTGGATCTTAAATCATTTTCTACTTAATTAAATTTCAAATTTGATCATCAAGGCTTATCCTTGGATCAAACAGAACAACTTTGTTCTCCCCCACCCACTTAATTAGTGTCTAACGACCTCAAACGTCGATTCACTACCCAACCCTTTCTAAAGACCTAAGACTAATAGAAATTTTTAAACAAAACTAATCATTCAAATTAGGATAAACAGTGAAGAACTTCGGTTATTCATCCTTCACTTGACCCCCCCTCTTAACAGACCCAGGATAAATCTTAGACTTAGTAAGTTTAAAATAGTATCTAACGAACTACTCGCGTTCTAATTATACCTGAACCTTGTGGATCGATTTACTATTCTCCAACCCTTGAACACAATCACTACCCCTAAGTAAGATTAAGTAAGTTAACACCTTAACTTATACTAGCCACGAGAAAGTAAAAAATCATTCTTCGGAATCGATATACTTTTCTCTCCAACCCTGAACAAATAGACCCAGGTTAAGCTAACCAAAAAATCGTAAGAACTAACAGTTTAGGAAAATAGAAATCATTTAACAACCTTTTGCATCCGTCATCCTAAACCTTATGTCATTTAAAAACCTAGGAAATAAACAAACAATCGTTTTACACAATTGTGAAATAGATAACAAAAAATACGACCTTGTAATCACACCTCATACACAAACAGTTGGATACATTCGAACAAAACGACAAACACTAAAAAGAAAAATCATAACGAAACAAAGACAAATAACACGAAAAAGATTTTCAAAAAATCGAAACGCATTTTCAGAATCAGAAACCAACAGTTTAGACGAACTTTACAAACTAAAAGAATCAATAGATAAAAATTGCCCACTTCACGATCAATTATATTTTTCTGACTCAGAAACAACTTCAAATTCATCAAAAAGAGGAAAAAGAAGAATAAAAAAGCAGTATAAACACAAACCAGTACATTTATACAATTGGAATCAACCAATTCGACACATTAATAATTACATATTAACAGTCATCGAACGAAAAAATGAGCTCAACGCACACCCCAGGTGACGAAACCCCAGATGCTGATGAAATCTTTCCTTTTATAATAGATGCAACCACTGATAGAGGACAGCATATATTTTGCAAAAATTTACTATTAAATTTATTTGAACCCGGAATCAGTCCATGTAAAACAGAGTTCCCAGATGTAAAAATCAAAAGACAAATCATAGACCACTACTTAAAAGATATATGCAACATAACACAACAGTATGGAATCTACTCCATAGAATTCACCTCACCAAACCATAATAATAGAAAATATACAATTCAAACAGACGATCTTGATTTAGAATTTTCAAAAGTTTTTTCAGAATATATAAAAAGCATCCAATATCATAACTCACAAAGAGCAAACTCCATATTCACCAATGAAGTTTTCGCAATAATATATAGTTATATTTCGATATTAGAAAACGAAATCCCAATAACAAATGTCTCACCGACAAAAACATCTAAACATTTAAGAGTACGACATGAAATCACACTACTCTCTAGTTATTTAAACATCATTAAAGAAAATTTCACGAAAGACGACGTTTCACAACATACAAAACACGATCTACAAAAAATTTTGGCATGGTTCATAATAGATTATTTCACACACAATATTGATTTAATTGCACAAGCAAGAAAAAATTTTAGACCCCAAAACTCGAACGATGATACCGCTATCACAGAACAATCAGATTATGTTTGGGACCCCGAATGGTCTCATCCCGCATTTATAAGCTTCCCACAATCAATCTCAAGTCAAGCAATAAGTACGATATCTTACATAAGAGATTATGTAAAAATAATACCATTCACCATTGATGCAACACCATTAAACTATCATACATTTTTGCCCGATACACAAAATAATAGTTTAAACTCTACAGTCATACACAATGAAAACCTCAATGGAACTAGGAATCTTACTCAACAAGATATCCAGACACCATCACACTTCATAAATGAAGAAATTGTACACACAACAACTACACAACAAATTATTTCACCAATACGCCCAAATTTAACAACACCAAGAAATACAAATCCTTCACAAACACAGGTAACCTTACAATCAACCGTTAAACCTTCGGTTGCCCCTAAATATTCACATATGGATTACCAAACATACAGACCCATGACAATACCATCAAAAACACGCAAAACATTCACTAGAAACAACTTTACAGACCATAATTATAATTATACACATCCATCAAAAACATATAATCAACCACAAAGAAATTTTAACCAATATACAAGATCTCGAAATTGGGATAACCCAATGACCCAACCTAATTCAATAAATTTCCAAACAAATCCTCCACAGGATCACAGTGAAAATTACCCATTTTTTCAACAAAATAAAAATAAAAAACAGACATCTTATCAAATGGATTATTTATCCTCAGATGATGATTTCTTACAACCAGATATATTTGCACCAAATACTCAAGAATATCGTAGACAAGGAATACAGAGAACACGTACAAATCATAGAAGTTTTTCTCCACAATCAATAGATGCACAACATCAACAACCAATTCAACAACAAAATCTAATTAATACACAATCTTTTCAACCAATTCAACAACAAAATCCAATGACTGCACACTCGTATCAACCATCACAAATGCAAAATGAAATACCACTCCCATATTATCTCCAACAACATGAAATAACAAGAAACCAACTTTCAAATTTTTCTCAAATGCCAAATGCAGCAGAATCATTACAAATGACAATGAATCCATACCTTATGGGTGGATCATCAATAACATCAAACAAACCTTTAATGGTTTTCACAGGAACAGACCCTGAATACTCTGTAGAAGATTATTTAAATGCAGTAACAGCAAACCTGATTTTAAATATTGGACCTGAACCAATTAATACGCCACTACATCAAAACTGGATACATCGACGCACAGCGTTAATACAAACAACCTTAGATGGCGCAGCCCAAAAATGGTTTTCAGTACTACCTCTAGAAATAAAATCAAACTGGAAAAGGTTTACACAGGAATTTTCAAAAATGTTTGACTCCGAAAGAAACAAACAACAACAAAGAGTTTTATGTAATGAAAATCGCAGATTACCAAACGAAACCATCAAGCAATTAGCAGTACGAATCGAAACACTAGTTCGAAAAGCATATTCACTAAATACACACGACTATAAAAACACAAAGATGACAGAAATCTTAATGATGACCTTAACACCACAATTAAGGAAAATAGCAATAAAAAAGAGAGCATCCCATCCTTCTTCAATTCGAGAACCCGATTTAGATTTTCGAAAACTAGTAGACAAATTAGAACAAGCAGAAATCACGATGAAACTAGAAGAAACGGAAAATCTGAAATTACAATACGTTAACAGAATTGAAACGACTCCCACTAATATTAATAATATACAGGAATCAGAGACAGACCTCGTTGAAAAAATCCTTGAAATACTCAATATTTACGAAAAGAACCCAAACTTTAAAGGCAAACCATCTTTCAAAAAATGGTGTAATTATTGCCGACGATACGGACATAGTATTTCCGAATGTAGACAAAAACAGCAAGACAATCAAAATAAACCTCAAAAATATAAAGAACCAAATAAATCATTCCATCAATACATGAAAAAAGATCAAAACCTACCGAACAAAACAGTCTACAGCAACAACAGTTCAGGAAAACCACTCCCGAACAATACAAATTATACAAGAAATCAATCACCATATAACTCAAGTTATAGAGGAAGATCACCAGAACGAAGAAACACGCATAATTCATCACAAAATCACTACAATAGACCAAATAGTCGAAATAACTACTCCAGATCACATTCAAATACACAACGATTTGTTTCTAGATCTAAT